TACAGCCGTGGTATTTCGCGCTTCCGGTCGATGGAAAGACAAGCTTCCTGAAATTCCGTCACGATCCAAACGGTACATTTGGGAAATGAAACTTTGCCCGCTCGCTGTCGTTAATTCGGGGATAATAGAGAGTGACCGGTCCGATGAAATTTATCTGTGATTAAACGGGCTTGAGCTTGCTGGCTCGTTCACCTCCTGACGGAATCGACCGTTTGATTGAACGCTATTTGGTTATGGAGGAAATGAAGAGCTCTTCTACGATCTAGTCGTCACTCTGCGTACCGGTAATTGCGCGTAACATTTGGCCACTGACGTTCGCAATTGCACGTTGCTTTACGTAAGAACGAACTCGGGAAGACCGTGAGTTTTGTCTGGTACAGAAAACGAAAAATAAAGGGAACATTTCGATCCGAAGTACACGAAGATGCGTTGAGAGTCGAGCAACCGCGAAGTATTCCAATCTTCTCTTTTCGGGGTCAGTTTGGAACTCCTGAATATTTCTATGGAGATCCGGTTCCAGTATCTTGGCAAAGCTACCAGGTTGCAACGGCGATAAACTGTAAGAAACAAAATTTGACAAACCATCCAGTGTCCAAACTTCCCCAGTTTCTGCGTGCGAATTTGGTCGCGACGCTGAAGACGCGCGAACGTTGAAACAGGCTTGTCGCGCCTAACCGAATCCCGTCAGCTTACGAGGAACAAGCTGACAGCCACACACGCCTACGAGGTTACAATCAACACGAAAGAAGTCTCGAGGAAAGGTGTCTGGTGACTGGAGCCGCTTGCCAACTTTCCTACGGCTGCCTATTCACTCGCCACCGGGCCAATCTTCCAGCCATCACAGCTTCGAACCCTTTGGATCATCGCCAAATCGGCTACCGAACTCGCCAGATTTGCTTTCCTATGGCGATTCGAAGGTATTCGGATAACTGCGAATCCACTCTTAAAAGAATGCCTGCTGCAACCGTTTGAGAGATGAACTTGACAGAGTGTTTGCATCCTCGATTTACTCTGGGACAGCGGTTCTCAATCTTCTTCCTCCTACATCATCAAACGGAATACGATCCAATCACGCAGCGCTTTGTACGCAAAGTCATATCGCAGAGTCGATACAGGACCTCCGTGTGTCTGATAGAATCCTTAGCTCCCGTCGCGTGAAAAGTTCTACAGTGATAGTGGAGCGTCGGGTTCGTCGAAACGAATAAAGGAGTGTTCGAGAACAACGGGGGACGAGAACGAGGGAAAGAAACCGTCTTTCCATCCGTCGTTTCCGTCTCAAATTCTCATTCCGTTCGTCTCGCGCGAGACAGCGCGTGGAAAAAGAGTCGACGGGAGAATTCGGGTACCTTTGTGAGTCGCGAGGCCTTTGAACGCTCAGGAAACGCCTCGAAGTTGCACGTATTCTCAGCGAAAATAGGTAACGAATGAGAAACGTGAAGACGTTCGACTCGACGTTTTGTCTGGCTCGATTCGTTGCTGCCCTTTTTCGAAATTAACCACGTCGACGGGGGCTGGAGTACGGCCACTGTCTGGTAATAAATGGATCTCTTCTACCGATCTCACGCACTTGGATTAAGCCGCCTCGCGTTCACGCTACGGTATGGAAGGCGGGAACACTCTTGATCCGTTTAATTATCTCCAGAGCTCGCAACATCGTCTAATAAGGTGTAACTTTACACGCCCGTGTCGTTCGTCAAAGCGATCAGAGGAGCCGAACGCGATCCTCCGAAGATGAAACGGAAACTTATCGTCTTACGATCGCGAAGCATCGGCGAGTTCATAGGGCGAAACGGGACATCGCGTTGAACAAGGTATCTCTGACGGAAGTGCAGTTACATGACGGAAGCTGGATCACACCGGCGTTTCGTGGCTTCCAAAGGCTTTTGTGCAATGCATCCATTATCGTTACCCTTGCAGGATTACGGGATCTATAGAGTTATCCGTTTGTCTGTTCGGATGTGTCAGTTGCACAGCACGCAGATTGCTACGCTTAGATACTCCGGCGTGCAGAAAGGCAGGAGGCGCACACAAACGCGACTTCGCTCGAGCATTCTCGAACAGCTTCTGAGACACGAGGCTGTCTCCATTGTGTTTCTCCAAACGCGATTCCGGGGTGAGAGAGGTGTTTAGATGTAAAATGGCGTCTGTGACGGAAAGTACACTCGGTGGTAATTGGCAGTAATTTAATTACCGTTGAAAAATAACCACGAGACGGTGGAGACTCCGCTTGGACCCCTGTCTGACCGTACGCGGACCTGTTCCACTTCGCCACCGCGCGCTACTGGCGGACCATTGCTCGCCGCGTTCGCTAGACTATTTATCCGAATTTCCGCGCAACGAGGATTCCCGCGATTGAGCGTATCCTCTTTGGTGAGCGTCGTTTTGTCGAGCAGATTAACACGATAACGCCTGCACCTTCTTCCCGATCCCGACACGATACGCGCCTCTTTAAGCACTTGATCCACTAAATCCGAATTCGTAACTATACATTGGCCTGTTGGAACTTCTGTTCAAGATACTTCAGCCGAAAACAGGTCAGGGACTTGGTGCTTTAAACGCGAGTAGCACAATTGGGGCATCCGAGAATTACCATTTACCTCTTTAATTACAGAATTAAAGCGGATGGGAGACTCTTTCTTCTTCCAGGGGGATCCCCGACGGCTATCCAGCAACGTTTTCTCTCTTTTAAACCCGTTGCGATTACGCGCTATCTCGCGAGGGATCCGTACGATCGATGGACAGCTCGGCATGCCGGGATTTTTCGCGATCGATTCGCGCGGAAGAACGTAGCCGGGGAACGCGAACGGCGTTCTTAGCCGGATACATTGACATTCCTGATTATTCGCGGCTGGTTTTCCCACAGGCACGATAACCCGTGAGGCCAATTTCCGCGATTATTTGCCGAACAGGAAAATATTTTGCCGCTCGGGAGCGCGATTCATCAAACCGCTTCAAAATCAAGCGTCGCGAAATTTAACATTTATCCCCTGTCCGGCTATAAATCTCGCGGAATCGTCCGCCCGAATAATACGCAGCCACGGTTCCCCATTATCGCCGCGGAATACCAGGATCGATGGTTTTTTGAAGCGGCATAGCGCGTCATAGAATTTGGTCGATTGGTTCCGTCGATTAAATTCCGCTTCGCCGAAAGTCCCACCACCTCGACTC